AAGGCATTCTTATCCTCAATCTATATATTAAATTAAACTATTGGATTGAGTGATGATCAAATTAGTGCTCAACAATACCAAACATTGGTAGCAAATTAAGTACGTATTTTGTAGGGTAAGTAGTACCAATAGACAGTAGTTATGACACAAGAGATTAGATGAGTTGGCTTTTGTGGTGGTGGTTTTTTTGGAAGTGAGCTGATGCATGCATTTATTTTGATTCTTTGTCTATTCTAGAGTTGTTGATCCACTTAAAAAAAAAATAATAAGAGGAAAAAATTAAAGAAAAAGAAACTGAAACATGTTAGGTCAATCTAGAGCATTGAGATTCCTTACTTTATAAAAGTTTGGAAAGTGTTATATAATTATTAGTTTATATATATATATATATATTGGGTGGTGCTATTGGGATAATATTTTTATCTCACTTTTTTATATAACTTTCATATGTCATTAAATGAATAGATGTATTCAATATCACGGATCTTATGTAAATTAAAAAAATCAATCATTTTAATGACACATCAAATTGTACAAAAAGGTGGGACAAAAAGGTTGTCCGAATAGTATTTCCCATATATATTTTGGTCATTGTTGATATTAGTTAATTTATCTTATCTTTTCCTTATTTTATAGCTTTTTGTTATTTTCTAGCGCTGAGTAGGTTGAGTTTTGGGCTTTGATGATGAAGTTTCTTCCTTAAAATACAAGGAATTTATTGGTGGGTTCTTTCCGCTTGGATTTGTGTAATATTATATGAAAATGAAAGAGAGATATGATTACATAAGTGAAAAGGTTAGGGATTAGGGAAATATTCAAACATTTGGGCAGCTTAAATCATCAAATTGGTTAATTATGTAAAAATATATGGGTAAGTAACCAAGCACTTAGATTTACATGATTCTTAATTAATCTCTCTCTATCTCTCTCATAAAATGAGTTACAAGAAATTAATTTGTATTTAAAAGATTTTAATGTTAGGTAACTCATAGGGGAGTAATACCTTAAAGTTTTTGAGTTATATAAATGCAGTTCTTGTCTTGATTTTTCAATGTGTTTTGGTTATTCACCAACTAAAAAGCAAATTAGTACT